CTTTAACCCAAATGACACCAATGCAAAGTGCCAAAAACTAAAATTCCTCCACCCAGCCACTCGATGCTCAGGATCGCGTCGATCTAGAATCTACACTTTCATGTTAAAATACCTAAAATTACAAACTTTACAGAGAAATAAATATGTTTACAGCCACAGTTGTGACCTGTGGCAGTTGTGGCTCAGGAGTTAGAATAGATCGTTTACCTATTTTAAGGTCAGGGATTTGATCCCCGGCTCCTCTAGTCTGCATGTCATATCCATGAAGTATGTTTGGACGCTTAACCCCAAGTTTCTCCCAATGCATCCATCAGGGTACGAATGTGTGAATGTTAGGTTAAAAGCGCTTAGCCATTGTGATTAGCCTCACCTGTACTCATTAAAGTCAATGAACTGTGGTTTTGGATCATGTTTGTGCTGTTGGCATACTAATATGGGTTATTGTGCATTTAAATTTACCATTTAAGAAGTATGTAGCTCAGTTTCAGTGAAGGCAGTTTCTGTATTTTATCTGTTAGCGCTAATTAGCAGGTAGGCTATGTGTTTTTCTGATGCATGTGTACAGTATATAAATGCAGCTTGCTAACCAAGTTTGATTACGTTAGCTATTAGCATGAGAAGCACTATTCAGAGTTTGAAAAGCTGAACAAGACAATCAGACAAAACACACAATTTAATTCTAAACCTTCAATTTCAAAAGAAAACACATGAGGTCGTTTTTTTGTTTTTGTTTTCATTTTCAATACATCTCCTTTGTCAGTGCAGCACATCCATCTAATACTAATTAGACTGCTACCAACATGTTGGGTGCATAGCAACAGGAGAACATCTTTGCACCTTTTTAGCTCTTGTTGTCTCAAATATCCAATTTGGCATTCGCTTGCTGTGTTACAGAAGTGGCCAATCTTCAAAGCGTGTATACATGTATGCTGTGAGGAAGGGAACCCAATCACCTTTGGGTGTCCTTGAGCAAGGCACTTAATCAACAGCTGCTCCAGTGAAGCTGCAGTAGATAGTGACGTAGCTGCACTGGGTGGCTGCCAACTCGACGTGTGCGTGAAAAGATCACGGTCCTCTGCAGGGTGAACTAAAGCTAAACTCACCCTTCAAATGTCATTTGCACAGTTCGCGTCCAAATAATTTCTGTATTCATCAGAAAGTAACTCCAAAATAGCTTTCCTAATAATATGCTTTCTACTCGGGTGCCGAGAGCTCATCAGTGATAATGAATACCTTCAGACAAGGCCTGGATTTTTGGTATGCGGGGGTGAAAGTCTGTCTGTTCCAGGCACCAGATGCTAAGCTTTGTCTTTTTCATTCAAATGGATTGGTGGGAAACACTACATTACCATTTTAACCATCCAGATTACCAATTCTACACATAATTTGTCATCATCGTTTGATAACTTAATTACTGTGGAACAAGATAAAAACTCATTAGCACGTCTTTCACAGGGTGGCTGCTATCCTGATGACAGAGGAGACTGCGCTCGGTCTTCTGCTCTCTTTTAATCCTGACAGTCAAACACAATCAATCAGAAACTCACACAAAGAGAGTCTCACACATACAAACACAGTGTCACCCAGCACTCGCTCCTTCATCAGTGTCACAAATCCCGAGATAAATGGGAGTTGAAACACTCTGTTTGCTTCAGTGTTTCAGAGAGGCCAATACAGAGTGGAGTGGAGAAAAGGGAAAGAAGTACAGAGCAATGTAAAGAGATTTAAGTAAAAAACTTCAGAGCCAGGTGCTACCATAGACTGTATATAAAAGATGTCCATTTTTCAGATAACATGTGAAGCGTTTTACGCCTGCATTCTTTCTAAAAGCCAGCAGGGGGTGACCTCTGTTGTTGCAAGAAGTTAAAATTGTTGTAATTAAGATTCTCAGTTGAGTCAGCAAGGAGGATAAAGCAGGATATGTGAGTCAATGCATGTGCAGTGATATCGAGTGATATCACATTTCTATGCATAGTTTTTAATCGCGTGGTTTTACGTAGCACTTTCTGGCTGAGTTTCTGTGATTTGAAATCCTTTCACTTTGTCATAATACCACTAACAGATGACTGTGGAATATTTAGAAATGAGGAAATTTCATGACTGGACTTGTTGCACAGCTGGCATCCTGTCACGGTACCATTCTATAATTCAGTGAGCTCTTGAAAGCAACCCATGTTTGTAGATGCAGTCTGGATGCCTAGGTGCCTAATTTTATACACCCGTGTCCATGGAAGTGACTGGAACACCGGAATTCAGTGATTTGGATGAGTTTCCGGTAGGTGTTCGACTCTGCCAGGGCTGCCCTTTGTCACAGTTCATAACTGTTTTGGACAGAATTTCTAGATGTAGGCAAGTGGCAGAAGGCTTCCACTTGTTTGGTCTCAGAATCTCATGTCTGTTTTTCACAAATGATGTGGTTCTGTTGGCTTCATCAGGTGACAGCCTCCAGCTCACACTGGACTGGTTTGCAGCCCAGTTTGAGACAATCAGCACCGCCAAATCTGAGGCCATGGTTTTCAGCCGAAAAAGGGTGGTTCACGAGTGTGGGGAGAAGGGAGCAGGCGATCGACAGATGGATTGGTGCTGCGGCTGCCCGATGCAGACGCTGTACCGGTCCATTATGGAGAAGAGAGAGCTGAGTGTAGAAGCGAAGCTCTCGATTCACCAGCTGATCTGCATCCCTACCCTTACCTATGGTCACGAGCTGTGGGTAGTGACTGAAAGAACGAGACTGTGGATACAAGTGCCGGAAATGGGGTTTCTTTGAAGGGTGGCTGGGCTCTCCCTTAGAGATAGGGTGAGGAGTTCGGCCATCTGAGATGGGCTCAGAGTAGAGCCACTGCTCCTCCAAATCCAAAGGAGCCAGTTGAGGTGGTTCGGGGATCTGACTAGGATGCCTCCGGGCACCCCCTAGATGAGGTGTCCCACGGGGAGGAGGCCCTGGGGCAGACCCTGGACATGCTGGAGAGATTGTATCTCTAGGCTGGGAATGCACTGGTGTTTCCCTGGGAGGAAGTTGCCGGGAAGAGGGAGGTCTGGGCTTCTCTGCTTAGGATGCTGCCACCGTGACCCACCCATTGGCCTAGGTTATTGTTATGATGGTTATGTTTAATTGTCGAACACTCTCTTGGAAAACGAGAGAATTTCTTGCTCTTTTCTGGATATTCATTACAACCTGGAGTGTTTCTCTAACCAGAACTTGGAGAACCTGCTTCATTTAGCAAAAGCAGCTGAACTCTGAGCTGCTGGAGAACAACTATGCAGGATAAAGGAACTCACTGAAGATACAGCTGATTACGCTCATTTATTTATTGTCACAAGTAACTTTTGCAACGCTCACATGTGCATTTAAATTTAACATTCACGGAGCTTTTTATATAGACAACGACGGAAAGTCAAATCAAGTAAAGGACAAAAGAGGAAGGCAGATTTTGAGTGTGTAGTGGAGAAAAACTGACAGCAGCAGGAAAAAAAACCTCTGTGTGTGTGTGTTGGGAGTTTCACCAGGCAGCTGCTCTCAGTTTTGGCTGAATTAAGTTTGCACTGCAGGGGGCCGCTCTGCTCCAATGAGAAACACCATAACTGAACCAATGCAGTGAATGATGCTGAGTGACAGCCTCTAATATCCTGTTGATACAATTATCTGTACAACATTACTGCCTAATTTGACTTTAGACAGAAAAACAGATCGAGGCTCTTCAAAGAGAAACAGGTGAGAATACCTTTTCTTTGGAGTCATCTTGGAAATTTAACCTAATTTCCTGAAGAAAACTTAATCTAATTTAAATGGTGAAATGTATAGAGCTACAAAACATTCTGTATACTATTTATTTGGATTGATTTTTAAGCATCAGTGACAGCAAGTGTTGATGTTTAAGATGCAGGCTTTATAATCGTTTGCCTCCAGCTGGACTCACATGAAAAAGCTTCGTAATTCTGAAGAAAAATAAGCAAACAGGAACATATTTGTGGTTTTAAGTGGACAGAAACATATAGCATAATAACACATCACCAAGACAAACATGAACTGACTTCCATGTAGCAGTTTGTATTTTGTATTTAGTGAAATGGTAATGTGCTTTCACACTGCTGTGTGCCTGAGCTGTTGAGAAGTCACAGATTTTCACCAAACAGGAGGCATCGACAGCTTGGCACCATTTTCTGCACCAGCCAACAGACTGTAGGCTGGTCATGACTCAGGAGTATTTAGAGACCAGACTTTGTCTGTCTGGTCTTTTTTTTTTTTTTTTATAAAAAAGCAAGCATTACGTGACTTTGGAAGCTCTGGTCACAGCATTTCAAAAGGAAGAACAGCATTGCAGGGTTTTTTTTTAAAGATTTGTTTGGAAATGCCCAGAGTTCAATAGAAATTTGTGTGCTCTGATATCTGCGTAGATTCTCAGCCATCCAGGTCATGGTAGTCGTAAGAGCTTGAAAAGAGAGCAGCTGAACTTCTTAAAAGACTCTGAAGATGTTTCACCTCTCGTCCAAGAGGCTTCTGAAACCAAGAGGGAGTCCCAGGGATTGTGCTTTAGGAGGTGGTTGTTCACCCACTATTAATAACGAGCGTCACACAGGTGTGAAAAAGGTATAGGTCATTATCACGAGTGTCCTCTGAAGATTACATTGTATTTTAGGTCCATTTTACTTCATGAGACATTTTAAATGTATAAATAACATGTAAGTTTCAAGCCCTTGTGCATCAATGCACCAGCTGTCTTGGTTCTGGGTCATTGACTCAGCATGTTGAGTTTATGAACTTACAGGGTTTTTTTAACGTCTTCTGATAACTCTGTTAGTCGTGTCATTTGCTTAATGTCTCCCTCTCCTTAGTTCCTGGTTATAGTTTTGTTCATATTGTTAGTTTTGTGTTTTAGTATCAGCTCCCTTGTATTAAGTTCATTTGTGTCGCTGGTTTCATCATTTAGTTATCACGTTTTATTTCACTGATAGTTATTTGTTCACATGCCTTGTGTTGAGTTTTGCTTGCCATCATCTCATTTTCCCAGACTGTTTGCATTCATGTGTTTTCCTCAGCTGTTTCCAACTCTCATTATCCTCAGTGTGTACATACAGTAAGCCCAGTCAGTCCTTTTATCCTTTGGCAGCGCTTTAGTTTTCCTGTCTCGTGATGTTTCTGGTTAGTTTGCTTTTGTGTTTTCCCAGACTTTTTGATTAAGTTGCCTTTTGGACTTGAATTGTCTTCATTTTGAGTTACAGTCTGTCTGTTCATGTGCTACGTCTGCATTTAGGGTCCACACTCCACTTTAACACCAGTAAAGTATAGATTGATTGCGAACAGACTTTTCAGTCCAGAAAGAACAACTCTGGAAAATGCTTCAACTTTGTTCTCCCAAACATCATTTGTGAAGACGATAACGACACCAGAGTCAGTTCAGATTTCAGATCACGTATAATTTTCACAATTATTCTCAACCCTGTTCGGACCCTGTCTGGTTGTTGTCAAAATTCCTTCTGACTGCTGTCCTCTACTCTGACATTGTCTGGATGTTAATGACTTCGCCCATTAATTTGTATGGGTGAGAGCAGTTTCTGCACTTGGGAGCAATCTGAAAAGATGGCCTTGGACATTAAACGATCATTTCAAAGTCTGCATAAGATCTTTAACCAGACAGCCATCTGTATTCAAGGCCAATAGACGGCTGTCAGGTTCTTCATCTTTTTATCCTTTGTTCACTGGTTTTTGCACCAGTCATTGTCCCCAAGCTTTATAGACAAAGGGTTTCTTTGTATCAGTTAATTGTCTGAATTTCATGATTTTATATGACCTATCACTCTGCTTGGCTCCTTTGAACTGTTAGACGTCTGATGTTATTTTGAAAGGACTTTACCTTGGTCTGTATCACAGGTTTCTTCTTTATTAGGATTTATTTGGGTTGTTTGTCATGTTCTAGTGCACATTTGCCCACCTTTGTGCAAACTGGGATTTTTTTTACAGCGTTTCATCAACTTTTTCGCTGATTCATTGTCATCCCAGCACCTAGAACGGATTTACACACACATCTATGCTCATAAAATATTTAAGCAAACAGCTAAGAAGACAGTGGGAATTCTGAAGCTCTGGGATTTGAGTGAGTGAGTGTGTGTGTGTGTGTGTGTGTGTGTGTGTGTGTGTGTGTGTGTGTGTGTGTGTGTGTGTGTGTG